ATCTTTATATGGAGACATAACTGGAAGAGGTGGCTTGGGAGTCATCAAATAAAATGTATTGTCCATTTGTTTTATGGAGGTCAAAATAATCAAAGTGTGTTCCATTGGTTTTATAAGAAAAAAAAAGTTAAGTATTGTCTTGTTATTTTTAAAAAAAATCTAAAACCCTAACAAAAATTTAGAACCAATATTAAAAAGTTCATTATTTTTGGTTTACTTGAGAAAAGCATAAACATTTAGAGGTCGTGTTTCTCCATTTGTCTTCATATTGGAATCACCTGGAGATCTTTTCTAAGCATTTCAAAAACCCAGGCCACATCTTGGGTCAACAAAACCACAATCTCTGTGGGTGGGATGTGAGTATCAAGAATTTTGACACTCCCCAGGTGATTTCAATATGCAGACAAATTTGGGGACCACTGGCTTAAAAATAAATCGTTTGTAAGCAACTGGTGAAAATAGAAAAGTGATCCCTTAAAATAAACATGTAATGCATTTGTCAGAGGTACTTGTTTATATATCCAGAAACAAGATGCTGAAATGTCAAAATCCTACTTCATTTTCTTTTACACCTGAGGCATCCATGATAAATATGTCAGTACCAGAAAAGTTGTACTGTAATGATTCTAAATTATAGGAACAGCAAGATAATTCTAATAGGAATTCTTAAATGTGTGTGTATGTGTGTGTGTGTGTGTGTGTGTGTGTGTGTGTGTAGCATATTTTACGAGGACTTCACTGAAAGATTAGACATGATTCTTCCTTTTAGATTTGTATCTTGTATTGTTTCAGTCCCACCCAAACACTTAAAAAAATATCAAAAGTTAAAACATGTCAGATTTTAGGTTGAACTGTTGCCACTCAAAAGACATTAAAATATAAAAAATACAATACTGAGCTATCTTGGTAGCTAGTGCATCTCAGTGATTTAGGTAATCCTGTGCCCCTAAAACCAAATCAGTTTAGTGGCCTTTGTGTCAACAGCTTGCTTCTCCAGAGAACCAACCACCTCTGAAAGGTGAGAAATGCGATGGGCAAACACAATGACAAAACACCCTCAAGATAGGCAGAGAAGCCAAGAAAGCACATATTAGCACTTCCGTGATGGCTCCAGGAGGGTCCAGTGGAAGCTACAACTTGACCCTGCGCAGCAAGGGCTGTAACCTCTCTGAGTGTAAAAGGCAAAAGGAGGCCATTTGCTGTCAGCAGTGCTGTTTAACCCTCTTGAATTTGAAGACAGCTCCAGCTCCTAATTCACACGGATCTCTAAGCTCTGCTTGTTGACTTCTCATTAAGGAAATCTGGTCAGCAACTCCACTGCTGCTCCACACAGCCTGCAGCTTGCCGAAGAGCTCAGAGCAAGCGCATGATTTAATTGTTGATAGAGGGAAATAATGGGTATCTCTAGCAGGTTTTAATATGATCTTAAAATAGGGGGAGAGTTTTCTGTTATGACATTGACATAGAAGCGATGATTTTGAGTAATGCAGGATGATGTGGAGATGCTTTAAGATTAAATAAGAGCTATATAAAGGCTTGTCAGAATGAATTCTAATGTGCCATGAGACACTTTGCATACTCTTAAATATGCAAAATGTCTCTTGGCACCCTAGAATTCATTCTGACAAGCCTTTATATAGCACTTATTTAAACTGCGACTTTATTTTTAGGGAAAAGGTATTCGTAGATACTCTTTGAATGGAAGCAACAAAGGGCAGTGTTTATTGATTTGGTTCCTTAGTGGGGGGAAAAAAGAAACACAATACAAAAGAGCAGTCAAAAGTGGAAGCTTGTTTAATATTGCTCTACCATCATCCTGAAAGGCATAATAATTTGAGTTACACATCTGAACTGATTGGAGTTACAGAATCATATCTCCTTTTTGCATTTAACAATATATACAATATAAAATAAATACATTTACACAAATGGACATTTGCTGGAGCACACAGTATGGTACACATCACAAAAATATACAATTGATTGCTTTACAGATGTGAAGCCCATCTACAGCTATAGACATGGTTTTATTATTATTATTTTTACTACTGGCTATAATGCAACTCCTGGATTATTATAAGCAGTTTAATTTTTTTGTCCTTTTACGATCTTTGCACATAAGACTGCCATAAAATGTTTTCCTAGGCAGGTAAACAGAGACGCTTAAATAATTAAAATACAATCACCAACACCCATTTTCTCTTCTATAAGAAAAATAGCAGTTTTAAATTTTTTATATCTTTTATGTTATCATTTAAATGCAAAATAGTGGAATAAATACAACAATCTGATCTGATTGAAACACAAGTGTAACTACAAGGAGTCACACAATCATATTGCTTTAAATAAGAACGAACCTAAAAGAAGCAAAATTAAAATTAAAATCATATGGCTAAAACATACACCTTTATAACTTTCCAAAACGTCACATTAAGTAAATGGTCTTGCTTGAAACTTGAAAAGACTTCTCTCTAGTGAGGTTTAAGATGAGCATTTACCCTAAAGCCCGTGCAGTTCTTTTAAATCTACGTTTTAGTTTTATTTCCTATTTGTGAGATACTTAGTCTTTTGCAATGCTGAGAGTTACTTAAACTGAAAACTTAAAAAATTGTATCTCGTTTTTTGAACACATCTCCATCTCATGTTTTCAGTTGGTTGGCTCTGACTTCTGAAGCCCAAGTACTTTAATGTGATACAGTGAAAATAATGTATATATTGTATATATTTTATTTATATATAGTGTAGTTGAATAGTAGCAACTTAAACCCTGCACAAACTTTCCGGAAAATAATCTTTTTAAACACTTACATATATAAATAATCTTATAGAATCAGCACCTTTTTTCCCAGGAGTTGTATTTTCTGTTGTTATTTTTAAAGGGATGTGCCAATTTCTGAACTCCTATCACAGCTATAAATTTCAAGTTATTGACCATCTGAATGAATTGCTAATGATGATTTATCTAGAATCACACTACAGTCACTTCTCTACTGAGAAACCACAATCTACAATATAGTCCCATATAGCTAATGATAGATACACAGTATTCCTAGCGCTGGGTTAATGTTTCATCAACCCAAGGTATTTTGTTTAAAGCACACAAAGTAGCAATAGTTTTGGAAACGAATCTGCACCAAAAAGTTTTGCAACAACACAGAGCGAGTTAATAACAACATCTGAGAGATGATTGAGTGAAAGCCATATATACAGCATTTAAAAATTAGACTTATCTATATTCTTGAAATATTCAAAGTTTTATTTCTAAGCTATACATTGGTATTCTATAATAAACCATTAGAGAAATTATTCCTTGTTTTGAAAATATTATGATTTTGATGTGTATCTGTTCATAATGAATACTTGTTTGGAGTTTCAATCTCTTAATTATTATTAGGAAGAACCTTATTACTGGTAAGGAATAGAATATACTACTGTAGTCTCCTGAGGAATTGTACATCCAATATTGTCTCTAATTCTACCCTGTGTCTAAAAGCACACACCACAAGAATCCAAACACCACAAGAACAAGACAACAGTCTTTGAATGCAACATAAAATTCAGAAAAGCACAGCAAACATGAAACATTGAAAAGCTGAACTACATTTCTTTTGTTTGTTAGGATTACAATTTTAATTACATCTGTGTACATAGAATAAGACTGTTCACATAGTACAGGGAGCAGCTACTAACACTGGTCCATTGGTATAGCATTTGATGGAGGTTACTGTTTATTGGTTATTCAGCGACTGTAGATTTCGGGGCATCTAATTGATTTCTTCATTAGATTACACCTCTTAACAGTCTGGAACCTGACTGACTTTCATGCTGTGGCAATACTGGTTGAAAAGCACATATATTGGCTTAACTCTTGGTAAAAACTGCAGATTAATTTAAACAAACATTCCTAAATGAATAAACTTATATGGATTAGATTTTAGAATTTGGTCAGGCATTTGCTGTCTTTGATGATTTTTTTTTTTTTTAAATTCTGGCATTTGCCTTATTGCCTCTTAAATGAATACTGGCTCACAGCTCCTTCTGAGACAAGGTCTGTAACTTTGCAAACAGGCAGTATCTCATTCCTAACCACCGTGGCAGCTAGAAATCATATGGCAACTGTACCTCCCAGGTAGAGAGGTGCACTCCTGATAATTCTACAGATCTATATCCCATGTGCAGTGCTTATATATGTGACTACTCAGAGTCACTGTAGGTGTAATCTAATCCTTTGTGTCAGTGAACATTTAGGTAAACTGGAGCTCATGTTAAGAAATTGATGTTTGGGACCAGACTGGCACACAACATAAATTGCATCCGTGATAATATGCACCTTCCCTTCAACTATTGCTTGAGTAAGTTAAATTCCCATATTAATAAATGGCTGAAAAGTGGTAAAGCTGGTACAAAAAAATCTCCATTTGTAAGAAGAAACAAAACATTTTTAAAAATCTTCCTTCAGGATTCATTTGTCCTTCATTATTGTTCATAATTGTTCAAAGCCAGCACAAAATTGCAGTATTCTTATTTCTCTTTAGTATTGCATGAATGAATAAAGCTTAAACTATTCCCTGAAAAAGTTACATAGTAGCTAAACTAACAAATACCTGGAAGACTTGAAAAAACAATTAAGGAATCAAATGGCTGTAACTGATCTAGATGGAAAAGCAATGATAAGAAGCAGCCGATGCAACATTGCTTAAGTTGTCTAATTAGAGGCTGCTCCCATGAAATCTAATACTGCACTCAGTCCATTCGTATATGTTGCACTGTACTTTTAGGTACGTTGGTTCTCTCTCTTTGATTCCTTAGTCATTGGGGACAGTATGGTTCACAATAAGTTCACTGGCATCCATATTATGGATCTCCATCCTTTGGCAGGGCTGGCTTCCATCTCTCTTCAGTTAGAGACCTCTTTTAAAAGTTCAGCAGCAGAAGGAAGAAAAAGAAAGAATAGAAAGAAGGCCAGGAAGAAAGGAAAAGAAAGGGAAAAGGAAAAGGAAGGAGGGAGTTTTTTTTTTTACAACTAAAGCTATTTAAAATTTAGAACAAAGGGGAAGGATGAGGAAAGAGAGGGAAGAGAGTAGGCAAAGAAAAAAAAGGCAGGCAGGCAGGCGGATGAAAAGAAAATAAAGGAGATGGGAACTAGGAATGAAAGAAGCCAAGAAATAATGGAGGGGGAAAGAAGAAAGAGAAAGAACAGAGAGGAAGAGAAATGTGGGAAGCAAGAGAAAAGAAGATGATAGAGGAAAGTAGAAAGAAACTCATCAGGAAGCTACGGAGGAATCTGAAAGCTGCTTCATAGTCTTGCTGCTAAATTATCAGTGCAGTCTGTTGATTTTTTGATGTTGTTAACTAAACTCTAAGTTTCTTCGACATCACTCTCGGGTTTATTTTCCCTTTTTCAACGTGCAGGATGGGAAGGCCCAGGGAGCTTTTAGTCAGACCTTGGCCTCCAGCATTTCCAAAAAAAGTTTGTGCATGGGGACTTTGCCTTCGAGTTTGATGTTGTAGAAATGCTGCACGGCCTTGGTAGAGGTCTGCCTCAGGAGTGGTAGTGTCATCAGCATCTTGCCAGCTCGACGAGGGTCTTCCATGTGCTGGCCAGCTTCGTAATCCTGTAGCGCCTCATGTAAGACATCCTGAAGCTTTTGAACGGCTTCAACGTCTTCTATGTGCATGGAGTCTGTGCAATGAAGCAAAAGATATAAGTCATCATATTGATCACATACCTATATAGACTAGAGTTATAAAATTAGTTATTTTTGAACTTCTAAGTTTGAAACTGATCTTTTCAGAGTCTCACATTGCTACAATCTGTTTCTACATGTCCTTACATCATTTCAAACGCTCACTTGGAAGATGGGAATTATTAGAAAAGATCAATTATTTAAACTGTGTATTTTTCCTCCTCAGGCTGAGCAAGAGAGGGCTTTCTTCTAACATATTATAATCTTGACTATTTTATTCATTGCCTCATCCAGGTATATTTCATTCACTCAACAAACAACCATGGAAGGCCATCTATTAAAAGTATTATTCTTAGTGCTGTGTAGGGGAAGGCTGCTTAAAATTCTGATATTGCTTGCAAAAAGCCAACATTTCCCAAAAAGGAGAAAAAAGTTGACGACTAAGATCCTAAGAACTCCATGTGAAGACATGGAATCTAGCGCTATACAGAAATCACAATAAATTATTTATCCTTTTAAGATATTTAGTGTTCTAGTATCAGTTCATTAAAGCATCCTGACATGGTCTGCTTCCCTGATTAAAAACAAATGGTAGCTTCAGATCACTGAGTTCTGAAATATTTTTCACATTTGTAAAGGTGAACGTTGCCCTTAAATGACAAATTTGAAAATCTAATTCAATCAAGCAAAGGAAGGGTTAACAAGGTTGCCACAATTATTCTTGTGAGAAATGTGAGATGTGGGGAAAAAATAAAAGTTACAGCTCCAGCTCTAAAGCAGACACTTAATTATATACAAGTTTGAATCATTTAGCACGTTTTATTGATTCTGATGACAGTTTATCTGTTAATTACACATAATGGAGTCTTTGGGGGATTCTTCATGTTTAATAATTCTAGTTCTCTGAGAATGCTGAGCTCTAAGATATATGTAGTTAGCCTAATCTTTCATACAATTCAAACATAGATCACATGAACAAAAAGAGGGAATGTAATTTAAAATCAAGTGGCTAAACATATAACAAGAAATATGGCAAAGTAATTGAAACATAGATGGATATAACTAGGAACATATTTTTAAAATTTATTTGTATTTTATTTAGTGTTCTCTTTTTCCTTTACATTGGCATTTTGAATCATTGCACCACATCATTGGTGAACTGACCACTATTAACAATAGGTAGTTTAATGACAACTCCTTAAAAAAATTTTGAGTAATCTGGAATAAAGTTGCTTATTGCTCAACACTCAATTTCTGCCTGGCAGAGCAAAAAAGAAGGAATTTTTCCAAGTGGGAAATAGTGTTGATAGTGGTGCCCTGGAGCAGGACTCAAGTTACTCCCCAACATACGCCTGGCCTTTCCCTGTGGATTGTTTCTATCCAGCTTCTCTCCAGTCTGGTTCCTCTCAGCATGGCAATCTCATCCACCTCCTACAGTGCTCTTAGAAACAAACAAACATAATTTCTAAAGTTGTCTAAGAGTTGGTAAAGTTAGGGACAGAAAAAAACAGTCATAGAGATGATGGCAACATGCTCTGATACTCTATTTTTGCATTTTATTGCTATCTGAAGGAAAAATGGGGGGCAAGGGGAAACACTGTGGTGAGTCTTTAGGTAGACAAAAGACTGCAATAAGGACCTTGTGCATAAAGGAACAGAGATGAGTCAGACTTTCCCCACTTATCCGGAGTCTAATGATTAGCTCTCTCTAGGAAAACAGGGATAGATGGAAGGAGAAAATGGGAATTACACACTGCAGTGAAAAGTCAACCTTGAAATAACTATTTTCCAACTAGACCAAAAACACACGAGAATAAAAATAATACATTTACCAGTTATTTAGCACCTATTTCAGGTGAACATGGCCTCATTTTACCTCCCCAAACCCTGGAAGACAGGTGGCACTGGTAATGTGTGTCAGACTCAGGTTTAAATTCAGGATTCTTCAAATCAATCATGCTGCTAGAATACAGAACACTAAACATTCATTCCCTTAAAAAATGAGATGAACTGTTCTCTAAACACATCCCATTCAAACTCCCATCTTCATCAGCCATCTTTATAACATTCCTAATGAAGACATTGCCAGGCGTGTATTGTGTAGATTCTCCTTGACAACAGGCAAAACTAATTATTGTCTTTTTAAAATTTTCCTAAATATGTCTCCAAATTCTAGCCTGTGGTCCTGTTCTAGTAAGAACAATACAGGATAAACTTCCTTTTCCTACATGGCATATCTTTAAATGCTTGAAGTCAGCTACACAGTTACCTTGGCCCTACCCCTAGTCTTGCCTTTCCCACTACTCTTGCCCAGCAGGAGATATATTATAGGATGTCACGGGAAATGAGGCGAGAACAAATAGCAGAGAGATATGCTCACAAACAGCAATTAAGACTTCAAACTATTCTTTAAAGGCTGTGATTTAGCATGAGAGATTTAAAAATGATTTAATCAAATTACTATGATAATTTAACTTCCCATTTGCAGAAAAGATTCTAACTCATTTTAGCTTTACCCATTCTCAGATCTGCTAATACTTTAAATGCAAACTCACTAAATCTGAACTATTTAATTAGACAATGATTCAGCTGGCAGACTGCTGAAGAAAATATTAATCTCCATTAGGGATCCTAGTTCAAGTTCGGGATCTGTGGTTTTAATCTCTGTTTTGTTCTTTTGGTTAAATTTACATGTTGATGCCAGGTTCAATGGAACTGGTATTAATGTATGTCATTATTTAGTTTTCACTGTTCATGCTAGTTTCTTTTTAACTAGGCTTTAAAGGAAATAGTCCTAGTGTTTGTGCTAATGGGAACCAGCTAACCTTAATAGAAATCATGAGTTTATGAACTAACTAGACAGGATTAGGCTACATATTAGAAACACTGGATGAGGTCTTAAAAAAGTTGGATACTGGCTCCAAGTGTAGTAAGTCAGAGAACAGAACTAGGGTATCAGCATTGCTAAAACTCTAGGTGGTTCTACTGCCAAGCCAGGATTGAGAACTACTACTGCATTAGACAAGAAGACAAACAAATACTATTATAAAGGAATCAAGATTTCAAAAGATGACCAGAGTGTATATGACTGAATTTAAACCTGAGACTGACATGTATTACCAGTGCCACCTGTCTTCTAGGGTTTGGGGAGGTAAAATGAGGCCACATTCACCTGAAATAGGTGCTTAATAAGTGATATATGTATTTTTATTCTGAGTACATACAGGCAACATATGTAATGGCCTATATATTAAGTCTCAACACCTAATAATAAAATAGAACCTTATCATAACATCCAATATTTTACTCTGTGGAAGGGATCCTAAAGAAATGTGTCTAGTTCAGATCATTTACTTTAAAAAGATAGCTAAATATCATCATCCTTACAGCTGCAAATTTAGTAAGGCTTAGAGCCACTGGAAAAGAAAATTTTATTTCTATATCCTCCCTAGAATAAAATACTGCCCTTCTCTATAATAAAAAATATTAATCACTGGGACCACAGGCGTAGCTACTCCGAAATACCTAAGTCCTACTTGGGAACTTTCTTGAGGACTTTCAGACCATTCTTGGCAATACTTTCTCAACGGTGCCAAATCTCATTTTGAGTATGGAATTGAATATTAGATACAGACACAGTATATTCAGAGTCAAGCCTAGTATATAACGTAAACCGTCAATGTAAACTTTTCTGTGAAACACAGGACTTGATTTTGTTTGTAAACTGCCTACATAAAGATGGGTTGTAAGGGAAGGATGAATGGGACTCTCTCCAGTCACTGAATGAATTAAACAGAATGTGATGGAAAGAATAGAGAATTGGGAAAAGGTCTATTTCTATGAAAGAATTTGTATCTTTGAATTTCCATATGCAATATACATGGCATCTAACAGAGTGGTTCTTCAGGTAGCGGTTGGCTGGGTACTGAGGAAGACTGGTTGATTGCCATTGCAAATTGACTCTAAGTTAACATAGATAGTAGAATTTTTTTTATTATATTTCAAGTTCTGGGATACATGTGCAGAATGTGCAGGTTTGTTACATAGGCATACGTGTACCATGGTGGTTTGCTGCACCCATCAACCCATCATCTACATTAGGTATTTCTCCTAATGCTATCCCTCCCCTAGGACCCCTCACCTCCCTACAGGCCCCAGCATGTGAATTTTTTTAACCTCTCCAAATGTTCACATTAAAAAAAGCAGAGCAACTAGATGGCAAAACTAAAAACTCAGGGACATCTACAGAAAAGCTAGGTGACAAGGTATTCCCAAAATATACATACATCCCCCCCACACACACACACAGTGCCACAATGATGTCTATGTGTCTGCATCCCCAGCTCTGTACTTATGTAGACAGCTGATGTTGGCCTGGGAAGAAGGGCCAACCCTGGAAGGTACTTCAAGTGCCCAGGCTGTAATCTGATTCTAGGCTTCAGTCAGTGAATATTTAAAATGAACATGGAAAATTTTGTCACACCAAATAGAAAGGGTATTATCTCCAACTATTAGGTTATTAAAAAAGATTTCAGAAACCAACCCGAAGAGGTTCCCACTGACAAAAATGGGACAATTTGATTTTCCAAAAGGATTATAATTGCAATTGATTGAAATCCATTAAACATGTTTGAATACACATGTTTATAATAGTTTTTTTTTAAATAGGACACCAATTATTCACTGAGAAAGCTAGCAAATAAAGAGAAATAATAAAGCATTTATACTACTTTTCCTAAACAAATTGTATCACTGATAGCCAAATAAGAGATAAGAGAAAGCATTATTTTATACATATCCCACCTGCTGAATGAAAAGAGGAAAAAAAAAAGACAAAATTACAAATCACTATTTTTCAACTCCCAGTGATTGATTAATTTAGGTAATGAATGTTGACAGTTGGTAACATCACAAAAAGAGACAAAGCCAAACAAGGTGGATCTTGTGAACAACACATCACTTACAGGTGCCATAGGACTAGAACCTGAGTCAGATT